TGAATCTTAGTGATGTGGAGGGAGTATATGCCAGCTGCTTTGTTTTTCCAGTAAAAACATGAATTTAATGGCCAAAAATGTTCTGGCTCAAAAAGGATGATATCCTGGGCTGAACACTTAAGAATTGTCCTGTTCACCAATTAGGTAGTTGGCACTTTCCACTAGTGTGCTTTATCAGTGCTAAGCTGTCCGGCTTGTCAGTACTGTACTATAATATGTAAAAGTAACTTAGTGTTTCAATACTAAAATAAGGTTTCCAAAGTACAGTTTGTTCAAAGTAGAATATCCAAGCTGTCAACCTATTTTTAAATGAGCTTAAACATCAAGCATAATTGATCATTAGTATATTTTCAGTGACACAATAAAAGAAAATAAACCATGTCTGAAAATCAAAAAGACTTATTAAAAAGAACTTCCTTTTATTGAAAACTAGTTGAAACACCCTTCAAAATTCACCCTGGCAATTCCTATGTGACTTTTAATAAGAGTCCTTGCAGAGTGCTTGAATTGGCTAAACAAGTTCAACTTCAGGACAACAAGGTTTATGTATTAACCCAAAAAATATTTGCAAAACAAACCCACAAACAATCGTGGCTATAATTAAATATTTACTAAATATTAGAAGTTAAATTTAAAACAATTACCAGATTTTGAATCTCACAGCCTGTACTGAATTTTACTCAAAGAGAATGACCAAGAATCATGTTTATTATGCGTTAATAGTCTGCTGAGCGGTGCATGGCTATGTCTACACTGCACACCTTACAGCAGCACAGCTGTGCCCTGTAAGGTATGCAGTGTAGCCGCTCTTTGTCGGCAGGAGAGGTCTCCTGCTGACAAAATAAAACCACCCCCAATGAGGGGTGGTAGCTTTGTCAGCAGGAGAGCATCTCCCACCAACAAAGCACTGTCCACAGCAGCGCTTTTCCTCGGTAAAACTTTTGTCGGTCGGGGTGTGTTTTTTCACACCCTTGACCAACAAAAGTTTTACCGACGAAAGTGCAGTGTAGATGTAGCCTGTCTTATATCCTAATCCTCCAAAAGTCATATAAAACAGAGTGGCACACTTTGTAGCTTGCATGGTCTGAGCTCACTGTACACACAAGCATCCCTGCAATTTTCCCCACAAACTCCCTGTGTGCCACCCTCCTCCTCTATTTCAGAGACTCCCTGCAATTCCCCTACTCCCATCCTCATGCCTAAGGCTCTGTATGCACCCCAAAAAATTCTCCCTTTCACCATATGCCAGGAACTCACAGTCTTCCCCATTTTCATTGTGACTGCTCGTCTTAGCTTGCTTACATCTAGAGGGTTGCCAACCTCCTTACACACACAAGGGGGTCCTTGCTGCCCTCCATTTCCCCCCTAATTTGGAATTTATAAAATTATTTCTTTTCTCTCTGTCTGGGATATAAGTCATTCAGGTTGTCAACATTTTAAACACTTTTGGAACAATGGGCAGAGCTGAGATGGGGTGTGTTGTTACACTGGAAGGCATTAAAAGAAAAAGTTGATGGCAGCCATTTTTTTTAAACTCTCTAGACAACAACATATGTGGTTGAAGCTGTGGGTGTGCTAACCAAATACCAAGAGCTCTGTCTCCCTCCCACCCATTTCTGGTTTTCACCAAAAATCAATAGGATTCTTCCCATTTTTGTGTAGAACATATCCTGCAATTTTGGAATTGATCGGCTGTGGTGTTCAAGACTTATGCCCAGACACACAAGCAGAGAAATGCCATCGAATTGAGTGTAGGCCTCACTTCGCTCAGCCAATAAAAGGCTGCACACTTCATTGCTCATAAGCTCAGCCAACAAAGTAAATACAATTTTCATCACCACCACTTCACTGAAGAAAAGTAACAGACTGTTATACTCTACTGGCTTGGAACATGCAACCTGAATATAAAAATTCTCAAATGGACCAACTCTTGGACTTTATTCAAGAAATCAAATAATAATCAGAAAAAAATAGGATCTCCCATTTGAGCTGCACAAGTCTCTCAAGTGTTTCCATGAAGCTTTAGTAACCTCTTTTCTCTTCCCATAATTCTATGACTTCCACACCCCACTCTTCATAACTCTCTGTCACTGGCTGCCTTCATCTGTTCTTCCACAGCTCTTCATAAGGTGCCAGGAGGCCTCTACTCCCTATTGCAAAGGAAGTTAGGGGGAGGTGGGTGCCCCCACTTCACATTTTACAAAACTGTGACCGGCAACCATTCTGTTTCAATACTGAGGAGCTACCGCCACACCAGAATCTGGGATGTGTCTCAGCTTCAGGCAATCAGGGAGCCAGACTGACTGTTGCTTACCTAGCTGGCTGCAGCTTCCAGCCCTTCCCAAAAATCTCTTTTTGCATAGGGGAAGAGAGGAAACACTATATCAAGAAGCCTCCTAGTGGGGGCAGCCCCCTGAAAGCCCATGGAGAAGGTAACAAAAGTACCCATTGTTGCAAAAGAGGAGGAGCAGGTTACCCGACTGCACACCCGAAGTTGTCAAAGGTATAGGAGACCTGGGTCCTGCAAGAGGATGTGAGGAGGACCTAAGGAGAATGGAGTCCACTGGAGGAGAATGGGCAATAAATAGTATTCCTAATATCAAGACCTCACAATTCATAGGAATATAAGAATTGCCTTACTGAATGAGATCCAAAATCCATCTAGTCCAGTAGCCGGTCTCTGACAGTGGCTTCAGAGGACGTGCAAACCCTGAGGCTTACTATTCCTTCCAACATTATCATCATTAATTTTGATAACAAGAACGGAGTTATCCATAGACATACCCCATCTCTCTTTGAATTTCTCTCAATTCTTGGCCTCAATGTCATCCTGTAGCACAGAGTTTTGTAATCTAATTGTGCACTGGGTTAAAAAGTTTCACAGTCTAATTATGCAACGGGAGAAAAAGTACCTCCTTTTATCAGTTTTGAATTTTCCACCTTTTAATTTAATTGAACGCCTTCTTGTTCTTGAGTTATGAGATGGGAGAACTAAAGCTCCTGATCTACCTTCTCGATACTATTACTTATATAATTTTTATCACGCCCCCTCTTATGCATTTCCTTTCTATGGTAAAAAATCCCAATCTTTTCAATCTCACTTTTATACATTTTTTCCGATTCAAACATCCTCTGAATATTATAAGACCTCATTATATTCATTCCTCAAACTAGCTCCTTCCTTGATTAACTCAAACCTGTTTGACTGATTGCTCATTATCTGGCAGCAAAACTGAGTAATAGTGCTGTAAGTAAGAATTAAAACAAGTACATAAATTTAAGAGACCATCAGGACCTCTCAAAAGGATTCTAGCTCCATAATTCATACTTGGTCATTATTCAGTCTATATTTAGGAATTGTGATTCCTTTGGCACACATCCAGAAAAATGTTACCTACTGTTGGTGTATGTCATTGTTTTAAGCGCCAGTTCTAATTTGTGCAAGGTTGTCACATGTTTTGAACATCATTATAAGATACTCTGGGATTGTTCAAGGAACACGGTCCCACTCACCCAATATATGCAGGACCAAGGTCAACTGTATGTCCTAATAGTGCTGCTTAAGGGAACATATACAGGTTCTGAGACCATTTTTTAAACCTGTAAAATTGCCTCAAGGTAGGAGGACTATATTCTACAGACAAGTCCAATCCTGCAAATAGATCAGTATCATCGGACCCCTGAATTTAGTGGGGTTCTGCCTTTGTAAAGTGGCAATCCTATGCAATCAAGTATCAGGAGGTAGCCGTGTTAGTCTGTATCTACAAAAACAACAAGGAGTCTGGTGGCACCTTAAAGACTAACAGATTTATTTGGGCATAAGCTTTCGTGAGTAAAAACCTCACTTCTTCGGATGCATAGAGGTAACAATACAAGCATCACTACTCTGTCCCAGAGGAGTGGTTCTCAAACTATAGGCTGCAGAGCTCTTCCTGGTGATCCATAAAATGAAGCATTTTGAAACACAAACAATGGACAGACAAGGCAAGTGTTTTGGAGCCTTTTCTCTCATGAGGTGCTTCTCAGAATGGAAAAATTGGTGAATTGTTGCCCTAAAATGTGTCAACATCTCCCAACTTTACTACAAAGCCTATACACTCAGTGGAGTTTAGATGGAGAGGAGCAGGGAACTGTCCTGCTCCTATTCCCCAGTTACTTTTGTTTTGACTTTCCAGACAGGAAAAAGGGATACAAGACCCTGAGAAATTTTTAAAGTAAAAGCCACCAAAACAAAACCCAACGCACCTAGCATGAAATGGAAGATACCACTAGCGTGTGAGGAGGAGAGGAGATTAAGACTAGAGGAGGTTAAAATCATGGAGCCATGAGTTTGGGGATGAGGGAGGCAGGGAGGGAATTAGAACTGGATCTGGACAGGTGAGATTGGGTTTTGGGAGCAGCAGGGTCTGGTGCGGATTAGATTTTGGGGGCTTGGATTTGGGGGGTAATGGGGATTGATAGTGAGGTGTAAAGGCAGCATTAGAGGCTGATGGTGGTTGGATATGGGGTAGTGAGGTGATATTGGTGAATGGGGGGACACTAGAATTTGGGTTTATGGTTGAGCTGGGATTTGGGGTCAGTGGGAGCTGATGGGGGCATGGAGGGGACTGGAGTTTGGGGACAGTGAAAGCTGATGGTGATTGGATTTGGGGGTAGTAGGGGCTGATGGTGGGATGTGGAGCAATGGAGTTTGGGGGTTGAGGAGACTGGAGTTTAGGGACAGTGGGGGCTGATGGTAGTTGGCTTTGCAGGC